GAAGGCAGATGCTTAACGATGGAGCCACCCAGGCACCCCTAGAAGGTTTCAGTCTTAAAACCCTTTTCTTAGGGAGCCCCAGCGTCAGGGTCTTTGCATTTCTTCTCTCCTCCTCCCCTCACCTCTTCTCCCTATCTTCAATGCGCTCAATCCATGAGTTAATAAGTTGCTGTTGTGTCTGGAACAGTTTCTCTCCACCTCTCCTGCCTTGTCATCTTTTAACGCTTAGCCTGGATAGCATGGAGGCTTTTCATAACTATCCCTCACCCTGACACTGAATCACCAAATATGGATTTTAGTTCCTCTGTGTGCCTGCATGCCATGCTGCTCATATCTGTCATAGCAGGAACCACATGGCATTATAAATATATTCATAGCTGTATGTAGACCACATGTATTGTGATTATAATAACTTGTCTGGCTCAGTTGGTTGAGCATCTGACTCCTGGTTTTGGCTCAGGTCATGATCTCCTGGGTCATGAGATTGAGCCGATATTGTTGGGCTCTGCACTCAGCAGGGAGTCTGCTTGAAGTTTCTCTCCCTCTGCCCCTCCCCCCCACTCTCTCTCAAATAAATAACTAAATTTAAAAAATATATATCTTGTCTGTCTCCCTCACCAGATCTGAGAGAAACTTGAGAGCACTCTAGGTAATAATATTTCTTTTATCTTTATAATCTTAGCACAGATACGGTGCCTGGCACAGGGGGAGCCCTCATCAAATACTGGCCAGATGAGTGAATGGACTAAATCCCTTGTTGGCAGTATTGCAGGTTGTTTCGCATGTATCCCATGGCTGCTAAGTTCTGTTCATTCAAACCACTAATAAGCCTGTGAGATCGTTTGAGAAATCCCTCTCTGGGGAGACTGGCAGGCACTCTATGGACATTGAGAAAAATGTTTATTTAAAGGCATTTACTTCTTCCCTTCCTTGCCCTGACTTTTTCTTTTTTGCCTATATTCTTTTGGTTTTAGCTCAATGCTTTTCAAATTCTGACTTGTGCCTTTGTATATGAATGACATATATACATTATACATGTATTATACATGTATACTTCATGATATATATTATATATGTATTCTCTCTTTAAGGCTGGGTAAAGGATAATCTCAAGATAAAATTAAGTAGGTTGGTAAAAACAAGTAAAATTAAGTCATAGATTAAATAATTTTTTTAAAGATTCTATTTATTTATTTGACACAGAGAGCACAAGCGGGGTGGGGGGGGGTGCAGAGGGAGAAGGAGAAGCAGGCTCCCTGCTGAGCAAGAAGCCTGATGCCAGGCTTCATCCCAGGAACCCCAAGCCGAAGGCAGATGCTTAACCGATTGAACTGCCCAGGTGCCCCATTACATCATGTTTAATCAAGACTTTAGCTCTAGTTCACAGCTTATCACCTGAAGAGTTTTGGCATTCTGTTAATCACTGGAGTTGAATTTCTTTTTTCTTTTTCTTTTTTTTTGGGTTGAATTTCTGTGCTAAGGACGGTGGCAAGTAGAGATATATTCCTAGTGCCCTGTTTCTAGAGTTGGCCACTTGAGTTCTCTTTAAGGGAAAAGGAAGTTGAAATTGGTAGGCCCACTAAATGACCCAGATCTTAGAACTGAATACCTGCCACTTTTAATCTGTGAGCCAGTAGATCCTTTTCTATTACAATTGGATGTGATGATTTTGTTAAAGATTCTTACATTTTTTTCTCTTGCACGTTTGAAGTTGATGTCATAACTGTTCACTCAGCTTCTGGCTCTTAGTATTGGAGGCTCTGTCATATGGTAGAAAGAATTGGGCTTTAAAGTCAGACATATGAGGAGCTGAATTCTGGGTTTCTTACTAAGTAACTTTGAGAATGTTGAGTAATTCTTAAAGCTTAATTTTTCTCATCTATGAGTGAAGTTTTAAGGATTATGTGAGTTAATAATGTGATTTACCCAGCAAAGTGTAGGTAAATAAATATTGGCTCACCTCCAAATTGTATTTGGCTGAGGAAAAGGAGAGAACATAAAAGATAACCAATTTGAAGTTAGCAAGCCTAGGAGCCTAGCTAGTTCCAAGCATTCTTCTAATAGATTCTTTTTTTTTTTTTTATAAAATAATCATCTTATCTTTACCTTTTTTTAAATTAAAGAAATAATACCTGAAACTCTAACATACACAAACAACATATCTTGCCAGAGAGATAAAGTTTATTGGAAAACCCATCAAGAATTTTTTTTCTCTATGAAAATATCCAATATAAGAAATGGGATCCAAGAAGCAATGTGACCAGAAAATATAGTCTGAGCTCTTAGGGATTCCAACAGTATTTTGGTAATAGATGATGTTCACCTGCCCAAATGAACCAAATGGTTACTCAGCCAAATAACCATAACAAATTTCTTGATTTTTTTTTTCTCTCCATTAAAACAGAGGGTAGGTTTTCCATATCTGGGCCATCTGGTCTGCCTCAACATCTGATAAACTGCTGAGGCAAGTGAATACTGAATAGATGCTTCTGGGTCCTTCATTGTCAGGCACAGAGCAAAGCAGCCATCATTCAGCAGGAGCTTGGGATGCAGGGCTCACAGGAGGGCTGAGTGAAAGTTGTGAGGTTGATGGTCTCCAGGCCTGGGGTGGGGTAGGAGGAGTTGAGCAGGAAGCAGGTGGGCACACAGGGCTGAGGAATGTGGCAGGGTGGGGGGGAGTTGTCACAGCAGGTTGGCTCCAGTAACCAAGTCGTGTGTGGGCAGGTGCTGGGCAGGCAGACTCCGCACCGGCAGCATTTGTCAGAGGAACAGATGGTGGTGGCGGGGC